CGATTTTACGCTCTCGTTGAGAAAGATCCCCAAGAGAGAAAGGCACATGGATTTTGAAAATCCCATCCATGCCTGCCACTTCCCTGAGAGAAAAAATGCCATGGAAAGGGGGCTGAGACTAGGTGTGGGAATGGGTATGGCTTCACACGGGAGAAGGGTTGGGAGGAGGCAGAAGAGAAGGAGAAGGGGAGTCCTGGGAGGAAGCTGAAGTGGGAGAGATGGGAGGGGTGTCCTGTCCATGAGAGGATGTAGGGGCAGGGGTGTCTGAGGCAGGGTCTGGAATTGAAGTAGAAGCAGATACAGGAGGGGTAAATGGGGTATTTGAGATAGAAGTCAGACTTGGGGAGACTAGGGAGTATTTGGTAATGAGGTGTTTAAGATTTTGGATTTCCTTGAATAAAGGGGAATTAAGGGAGTGTCAGACTCAGAATGCTGAGGAAGGGAAGGGGAAGATTGTAGAGAGGGAGTTTGAGGCAGAGAATGGAGGGGAGTTGGGCTGGCCCCTGGACTGGAAGGCAAGGGAGGGTATAGTGATGGGAGGGCAGGGGAAGGACTTAGTTGTGCCTCAGGCTCGGGAGCAGGGGGGTCTTGGGGCTGGGTTCTGTTAGGGGGCAGGTTATCAGCTACAGAAGGATCAAAAGCAGAGTCAGAGGGGTAGGGAGGAGGGAGAGTGGCAGAGGCCCCTGGCGGTTCAGGACCTGGTGAGACTGCCTTAGCCAGGAGGACCTGGTGGGAAGAACATTTGACACATAGTGTGGGATTTGCACGGAGTTCAATAAATGCATGGATGTAGGGTAGTTCCGACTACTTGCCGGTACACTGGCAGAAGTTTTCCAAATCTTTTAAAATATTGAGGTTTAAGGTTCCAGTGTTTGGCCAAACAGAGTTATTATCTAGTTTGTACTGAGGCCAAGAAGTGGTGCACAAGAATTTTAGGTGTTTTGATCTGATAATGTAAGATAATCCTAGCTTTTTTAAGGATTTAAGTAGGCAGGCCAAAGGTGGGAGACCCTGAGGTTTTGAGTGTTTGGTTCCCATAGCAACGGATTAGGTGGAAAGCGAAAGAAGAGTTAAAGACCTCAGCTGGTGGGTCAGGGAACAAAGAGGATCTTTTGCCCTGAGGGGACAGAGATGGAGTCAGAAGTCAGAGCAGGAGGGAGCAAGCTTACAGGGAAGAGAGAGAGAGAGAGAG